CACCAAATAAAGGGTATAGGGAGGATCCTCCTAGGATGGGAGAAGCATGCTGAAAGTAGACTATAGACCGATCATGATTGCCACTCAATGCCTCTTTTGCAAACCACAACACCCAAAAGGAGAGAGAGAACAAAAGGGAATGCCCTGACACCGAGGCAGGGTGGGATGGCGGGGATGGGGGGTAGGAGGGATACTGGGATCCGTGGTGGTGGAAAATGGGCACTGGTGGAGGGATGGGTACTTAATCATTGTATAATTCAAAACCAAGCACAAAAATTTATAAGTCTACAAATGTACCTCTTGGTTTGTCACTAATAAAAGTTAAAAAAAGTCTAAACTGAATAAACTGCCAAATTGCTCCTAAGTTCTGAAAATTCTTAAATAGATGCTAATTATTAATTTTTATACGCTGCTTAAAATTACATTGCTTATAACTGCAAGTGGTGACTACAGCTAATTAACTGCTGCAAAAAATCTCACAAGTAATTATGTGTGTATGATATGCACCATGTATATATGCACATATGCATGTATATATACATACTTTATCTATCTATCTATCTATCTATCTACCTATATGTTTATAAATAAAACTTTTTTCCATGAAAGTATGAAAGCCTTCTGAGACAGATGCTACTATTTCCAAGAGGGGCATAAGAATGAGTGATTGAAAACCTCTATTTTCATTAATTTTTAAATTTACCAAGGGATTCATATATTTAATAGTCTTTCAAATATAAATTTGTTAAGTGTTATGAAAACGTAAGTATAGGATAGTATAAACATGTATACAAGGGGAAAATAGCATAGTTTGAGACTTTATAAAATGAATTTGTAAGGAAGTGAGGCTTTAAAGTGAAGAACTGGTCAAGTAACAGAGGGACTCTTGGAGTGGAATGAGACTATGACAGCAGAATAAAAAAATGTACAGAGTTCAGAGAGCAAGTCAGATGCTACATTCAATGAAGTTAAAGGCAGTGTGCTTGGCTGGAGACCAGTAATCAATGAGAGACCCATGGGAGAACATTCATAGCAGGCTTATAGGTCAGCAGGAGGACATTAGCCATGGAAACTATTAAGCAGGACACAACAAAATCAGAGATAGCAAAACATATTTAAAGTCAAGCTAACGCACAGGAAAATACTAAATCTCACAAAATAGCATCAATAACTGAAATATAGATGATTTTGAAAGTTATTGATTTAAAAATCTATAGAAAGATGCTTGGTTCAGACAGATCTGACACAGTAGGAATAAAATGGAAAAGTGCTATATTTATTTAAACATGAAAACACTTTTGTCTCAAGGGCAGAAGTCAGTCCTCGATCAAGGAAGAATCTCATGAATGTATTTCTGGCATATGTCTGGAGAGAGATAGTATATGGGGTGAGTTAGACTAATCACCCCCATTTTGATTCCTGGTACCACACAGTCCTGTAAGGACCAACGCATGTAACGCTGGAGGCCCCAGAGCACAAGGGAGTGATGGAAATAATCTCTAGCACCATGGAGCCCAAATAGTAGCACATTTCCAAGCCCTTGCATTGAATCTCTGACACAGATGTGTATATACACATGTGTGTGTATCTATATCTATATCTATATATGTATATATACATGTAAATGGCAAGGAAAAATTGGGTGTATCTGAGAGATTTTCAAAAGCTTTTTATAGAGTAGTTATAGCGTAAATATTCCTTCTGAAGAAAATAGACACATTCAACTTTTCCTTACTTTACATGAGGAGAATATATATAGATGAATAGATATAGATATATTCTTATGTATATATACATATTTAATAGTAACTGTATAATTAAAGGTCTTATAGAAAGCAATGCAAGAAATATGTATAATTATTGTACTCTTGTTTATAATTATACAATTTTCAAATAGTTATAAAATAATTTCCAAAGTATATAGATGCTCAAACTTTGCTAGATTGTATAAATATATAAATATATATATTTAAGGCCATATTAAAAATGTTCCAAAATGTTCATTAAGTTCCTGAAGATTTTTCAATATTCTGTTTCTGTCCTCAAGGAAAGCACCGAGAAAGATTCAAACAATAATTTTTATTTTGATAGGACGCTAATGACATTTTATTTTGAGACAATTTAAGATGGTGCCACATATGAAGGAGATTTTTAATGAAGGTTCACATTTCAAAAGAACCAGAGAATAATACCTAATTAAATCAAAGTAAAGGTACATGCAACATTTTACCTTGGCCACGTATAGACAATCTTTACAAGTCTCAAATTTGTAAACTTGAGCAAAATATTTATCTTGACTTGGACTTGTTTAATTTTCAGCTGTAATGTTTTTTTCTTAATAAAAATATAGTTTTAAAGTATTATATCATATAAGGTGGTTTTGTTTAAGTTTGATGTAAATTACAAATATATATGATCTTTCAGTTTATCTGAGCTCATTAGGTCCACAGGTTCAAGCAATAATTTTTATCAGGAATTTTTCATCAGAACATTCATATTTGAAAGTAGTCATTATTTAGTCTTTATGTAATCATAGAGAGTCTCCTGCCCCCATGCCTGGCTGTCCTCACCGGGGCCCCTTTGGGGGGGGGGTGTTGAGTTTCTCTCCCCCGCTCCCCTCCCCAAGCAGTGCCCCAGCAGCTGAGGACCTCCAGAGCCAGCCATTGCCATGCTGGGACCACTCTCCACACGTCCGGATGGGCTTCATGCATGAAAGAACTGGCAGAGGAACCTAGGCATGCGGGTCCCGGGGCTGAGGTCTCCAAGCCTACTTGGATTGGGACTGGGCCTTCTCCAACCAGACCCCCCATCTTCCAGTAGATAGGCGTCACCCCCACTAGCTGCCGCCAGCGCCAGATTGGTCTCACCAATGGCCAAGACGCAGAGACTATAAAACCCAGCTCCCGGAAGTGCGCGGCCCCGGATTATCTTATTTTTCCTTTGAAGAACCTGGCAGGCTAGCAAAAGTATCCTGCCCGCACAGCAGAGTCTGGCAAACTTCCTGTGTCATACTCAATATGCCAAATACCAGTAACAATGATGGGTCTCATTCTCCTAATCCTGAAAGAGCATTGAAATGGCTCTTTTAAAATCTCAGGGCTAGGAAGAAGGAGACGTTACTGGTGCCTGCTCAAGGAAATCAACGAACAACAGGATGATCGTGATCGTGATCGTGATGCAATCATTACTTGGTCTATTATGGTCCTTATATCTATGTCACCTGTTGATACTTCTTTTGTCTTTTACAAAGAATAGCTCAAGAAAAGGACTCATTTATGTACTTCACTTCAATCTATTGATGGTCTGGATCCTTGGATCTCTGAGCTGAAATTGCTCACAAAACTTCCAGACTAAAAAAAGCAGGTGACTAGTCAGAATTTGTAGAAGTTTTAGATGCAGTGCATATCAAAAATTAATCACACAGAATTGATGGCACAGACATGGATATTTCTTGACTTATCTATCAGGAAAATGGTTTCAATCTCCACACTCTTCATTTTCTTCAGAAGCAATTTCCATGTTACAATCACTAATTTATTTTATTTTTAAAAAGTCTTTGAAAATCTCTCAGATAAATCCAAATTTTTCTAAACTTACATGGAGATACTCTAATTTTCAAAAATTCAAGAGTTCACAAGTTTTTTTTTTTAAATTAGGATATAACTGAATAAGTTGATTGCATAACTAAGTTCTTACAGGAGTGGTTCATTCTGTTAGTGGTGTTCATTGATTCAGGGAAGATCAGTTAGTATTAGATAAAATATCTCAAAATTGTGCTAAAAAATGTCCTGGTGTCTGGCTGCATAGTATAGCCTCAAAATTCAAGAAATGGAATCTTCTGGCAGGTTAGAGATATTAACAAGGGGCTACGGGAAGAGAGAGAGAGAGAAAGAGAGAGAGAGTACTGTAGGTAAAGTGTTTTTCTTGCATGTGGTTGACCCTGATTTGATCTCAGTTTCGACATTTGGGCTCCTTAGGATCACAGTAGGAACACAGAGAAACTTCCCTTAGCATAGAATCAGGAATGAATCTTGAAGACCACTAGGTGTGTTCCATAAAACACACATACACAAAAATTAAACAACAGAAAGGAAAAAATGTACTTTGGAAGAACTGAAAGGAGAGTAGTAGTACTATCAGAGATGTTCAAGTAAAAACTGATCTATGTTTTTTTGGGCATGTCCTCTTAATCTTAATTTGCTCCAACGAGCATTTTTTTTTAGTTTGGTAGTATAATGTTTTATTCAATTTCATTTTTATAAGGTTGCTCACAAAAAAATTATTTTACATTCAATATTCCAACATCAACTCAACCACCATTACATTCTACCCACCACCATTATTTAAATTTTTCCAACCACTGCCAAGCCTGCCTCAATAGCTGATCCTAAATAATTTATTTTGCATTGATTGTAATGAATAATTCTCTAAAAATGATCAAAAAGGTTTCCTTAGAAGAAAATGTGTAAAGATTGTTGTATCTCACTCTGGAGCCACTGAATCCTTGTATGAGAGATTACTAACATGTTGTTACAGGTTGATGAGCAATTCTCGTCATGAGCAATGCTTTTCAAATTTCAATTGACATTGATGACAACATAAAATGGAAAATTCTATTAGTTGATTTATATATCTTATCTTTCAGAAATGGGCTGGAGCAATAGCACAGCTGGGAGGGCGTTTACCTTGCATGCTGCTGACCCGGGTTTGATTCCTCTGCCCCTCTCAGAGAGCCCGGCAAGCTACGGAGAGTATCCTGCCACCATGGCAAAGCCTGTCAAGCTACCCGTGACATATTCGATATGCCATAAACAGTAACAAATCTCACAATGGAGACATTACTGGTGCCTGCTTGAGCAAATCGATGAACAACGGGAGGGAAGTGCTACAGTTATAAATCTGAGAAACCAAATCAAAATATTTTATATATAACTAGATTAACACACTGGTATGTAATGTAAGTTAACATTGAAACAAATATGTATTCAATTCATACTTACCCATGAAATTGAGATAACCTTCTCCTCCAAGTGCATGAGTAATAAGACGGATCATTTTATGAAGCTGTATTCCACGATCAATTACTGGAGTAAAAGGGGCTAAAACACTCATGTTGGTATACATTTCAGCATCCATCAACCAAAATGCCAATGTCTTATCCCCAACAAGTGCCTGTGGAAATAAGAGATAAGTACAAAGAATAGGTATTATGGGATTGTGTTTTACACTAAAATAAATAGCAAAGGATGGAAAATAATACAGGAGAGAAATTCATATTATTACGAAAATCATTTACTTTCTAACACTTATAGCTTAAGTGCTAAGCTTAACAATTGAATGAATAAGATATGTTAGAGGGCAATACATATGTTTTTAAACTAATTTTAATTTAAAAAAATAGAAAAATTTACAAAAACTACCTAAATATCTGTTATACCTAGTCTGATGCTTCTAATATTCTAGAATTTAAATGCATAGTATAATGTTGAGAACACTATATATAGGTTCAATATAGTTTTTATACACTACACTTATTTTTTTACTTCACTACACTTATTTTGGAAAAATGAAAGTTTCTAAAATTATATGCATCTGTACTTCTGCAATGCATATACATATATATTTATCCATAAATACAATATATATTATATAATATAAGGGACTGGAAAATTCTTAAGAGTTCAAATTTGCTTTTCCATTGGACTTGCTAAAATGATTTTATTTTATATTAAAACAGAATAATTGATAAATGGTCAGGTAAATGAAAAACTCAAAAAGTATCTTAACTATATGAATTAAACATATTCAAAATACTAAATATTCACTTTCCAAAACTAATATCTATTTCTTTGCTGGAGAGTAATACAGATAATCTCTGTATTACTAATCTAATCGACCATACATTTGGCCAATCTCTGTTTGATTCATGGTACTATATTGGGTCACTCGGGCACTGCCAAGAAGGGCCACCCTTAAAAAAGTAACACATAATAATTTTTTAAAATTTCTTTTATCTTTTGTTAGCCATTTGCTGTGGTCATGGCTTACTCTTGGCTTTGTACTCATGGGTCACTTCTCACCATTGAAGAATTCTAGGGATTATAGGTGGTGTAAGGACTGAACCTTGTTTCATTGCAAACAAGATAATTTGGGCTTTACCCACTGTCTTATCTATCTGGAGATATCATGAAATATCTTAACTAAAACCATGTTTCGCTAATACTCAATATTTGTAATTTTACTATCACTGTTACAATGATCACCATTTTATCATAACATTTTTAGCTTCTAAACACATGGTACTTTTTTGTTTGATCAATATAAAACTTGCTTAAAGTACTGCTGCATGCAGGTTTTTTTTCATTCTGTGGTCTTTGTCCTTGCTTAAGGACCACAAAACAATTGATTCAGGCTCAAAATATATTGTTATATATTTTTTTATTTTAATTTTTTTATTGAGTCACCATGAGATACATAGGTACAAAGCTGTTCATGATCAGGTTTCAGTCTTACAATGGCACAACACTCATCCCTCCACCAGTGTCCATTTCCCACCACCAATGATCACAGTTTCCCTCCTGCCAATCTCCCCCACCCGACCTGCGCCCAGGCTGTCTCTATGGCTCTAAGGCAGGCACTTTCCTTCTCTCCCTCTTTCCCACTCTCCCTCTATCTCTCAAGTTGTTATTTTTTTTTTAACCACAGAAAATCTCAGAGTTGATTAGATAACAAGTGTCATCTTATTAGTTGAGTGAAAACTCTTGCTTTAGCAAAGTAGCCCTTTGTTCTCGGGCAGATAGGTGAGGACATCAAAGGTAGCCATAAAAAGTGACTGTAGTTTAATAGATTCACTTGTTTTTCTCTTTCCTCAAAATCCACACTGGAGAGTCAATCTCCCATATTTTGAAGTCAAGGAAGTCTAGGGAGCTTTAATGCAAGAGTGGCATTCTTACATGAAACGGAAGCAAAAGCAGGGATGAAAATTCCAGCAGCAGGATATGCAGAGAAAAGGACACTCAGACACCTTCAAACCCAGAAGAGTTCTTAAGAGAACCCCAATCAACTATTATTTCAACCCTGATCTGTAACCTTCAGAACCATAAAAAAGAAATGTCTGCTGTTCAAGCCAAACTTTTGTGACATTTTGCTTGCCTTGCATGTGGCTAATGCAGGCTTGTTCTCCAGTATCCCAGACGGTCTCCTGAGCCCGGCCAGGAGGGATGCTGAGCAAAGAACCAGGAATAAGCCCTGAGAGCAGCTGGGTGCAGCCCGAAAAACAAATCAAAACAAAAAAGTGTGCAATCTATGCATGTATATAATCTATATATGCATATATGTATATATATGTATATATGTATGTATGTATATAATTTATGTATTTAAATAAGATCCAATGCAGATTTGACAATTGGCATCTTTTTGTACACTCTTGACAATTTACAATGAAAAGCAGAACTCCTTGAATATCCAAAGTATGAAATTATTTTTGGTAAGTCTGTAATATTTTTGAATATTTGGATAAACAATCTATCAGTTAATCATAATGTGCTGATCCTACTACTCTTTCACGGATTATGACAAGACAGACATTGCGAGTCTAAAATTTACTACAACTCCTAATATTGTGCAATAGGAAGAAATAAGTTACACAAGTATTTTGGTTTTCACAACATTCTGTATTTGGTAGAGGGTTCTTCCATTGGGAGTACTGTTTTCTGTTTTTTTTTTTAATTTTTATTTTTATATATTTGATCCATGCTATGGCTACTTTAAGTTGAAAAACAGCACTACCCTAATGTTAAAGATGGAGAGATGGAAAATTTAGCAAATGCCTACCTCATGATTCAGTAAACTTTGTGAAAAGCTTAAATAGTAATCATCCTTTGTTTACAATTTGGTAATTGTGGGACATTTTCTGTATCTCAGCTACTTAAGCCTGTTATTGTGAAATAAAAGCAGCGAGAGACAATAAATAAGCAAAGGGGCATGGCTCTGGTCCAATTGACTTTACAAAAACAGAAAGAAGGCAGAATTACATTCTTGGGCTTCAGTAGCTGACCTCTGATTCGCTTATATTTTCTTAATAATTAGAGGTGACACCTGAAAAATCACCTATTTAACTTAGATGGCCAATTTCTGCTAAAATTCAGAAGTTGTTTGAATTGTTTTACTTTTCTTCCCACATGTGCTATAAAATAGTTTGCGCCCTTTTAACAAAAAGAATCACATTTTATGCTGGTTATATTTCTGAGAACTAATGTGGTTTAAATAATTAAAATGCTCTTCTTTCCCCTTCTTCCATTCATTTATATTTACAGACTGACTGAGGAATAGTCATAATGCTAAGGCTGGAAATACAAAGATAATGAACACAAACTTTGTATCTAAACCAGGATGAGAACACAGAGAATGGAGCAAATACCATTGTCCCTATACACTCATATAAAACCTTTTGGGAAATGAGGATTATTTGAGCAAGGAAATTAGGTCCTCATTAGGAATTTCCAATATAAAGAAGGCACTTGCAGGTATGCAGGGAATAACAAGATTGGGGCAATGCTATTCAGAACTGGGTGGAATTTTTATTGTACTAAAGAACCCATAAGACTGAATAAACTGTTTAGAGGGTTGAACAGAGAAAGAATGTGGAAACTTTGGTTTTCACCATTCTATGAGTGGCCCTGGAACAGAAAACTTAACCTAAACCTCTGTATTGACAAGTAGGATTTGTTCTTTAGAGAACATCCCAGCTGCTTTAAAAAAACTGGACTAAAGCTGAAAGTGACAGGGTAAGGGTGATCAACTAGCCCGAGATTTCAGTGATTGAGAGAAGAAAAAAATGATGAAAGCTTGTCAAAGACATAAAATACAATCTCTAGAAGGAACATAAAATGAAAAATTAAAATTAACCTGGATCAGCACCAATATTCCTCTTATTATAACAAAGGAAAACATGTACAACTGCATTTGCAACCGTCATTTACAATCTTTTAATTACAGTTTGGCAGGGTAAAAATGGAATTGCATTTTGAAGCTGGAATTTATATATCTACACAATAATTTTAAACTGTTTTTTAAATAGGAGCAGTTTCCACAGAAATCTATCTAGAGAGATGAATATATGTGTGTTAGACTATGGCCATTTGCATTAAGCATGATTGGATTTAAGTGGGTTAATAAACACAGCGGGAGTGAGAAAGGAGCGAACAGGAGAGAGAATGAGAATGTGTTTTACATACATACATAACACAAGATGCACACACACACACACACACACACACACACACACACACACACACACACCCCTCTCATTTACCTGGTCATGGCTCTCTGAATAAGCAATGCATTTTTCAAGGTAGCGTCGGTTTGTGAGTGTGTGCACAATATTGCCCATATTCCAGTCTTCATCCTTAAATTCTTTAATCAGCTGATGTGAGAGGGAAAAATGTTTGAGTAAATATTTTTATGTTAATTAGCTATTTGAGGATATATATCTTACTTACCCCATTACATGACATGAAGAAACAAAGGCCTGCCAATATCAAAGAGATCACTGTATAAACTGATGCTGTGAAAATTCTACTTTAGTACAAAGAGTCCAGATGTCCAGATGACAGTGGTATTATATGGTTTTTGTGCAGAGGGTCTGATTATTGCAGTCTGGATTTTCACAACCATTTTCTTTTCTGTACAATTGCTATCTCTTGATTAATGAATACAGTGAGCTCTGTTGAGCAATATGTCTTTCTGTAATGCTCACAAGGAGGAGATAAACTTGCTACATTTTTAGGTCTGAGTGAAAAATAAGTTTGCTGTTCTGTTCCATTCTTTAAATATTGTAATTTTTAAAAACAAACAGAATTCCCCAACTTGGAAGCTAATTTATCAGGAAATAATGAGTATCTTAACAGGCTACACAATTTTATATCTATTTCAGCTGCCACTAAGTCAGTAACCTGGAATGCATATCACGACAGCTCTTTTATGTAAAGGGCCTTACTAAGATCTTACTTAGATGATCCTCTCTTAGGCCATTAATTGCTTCTATTAGGCGTCTGCTGTCCGTGTTGTCAATGCTTACTTTATCTCTTTCCAGGAAATGCTTTTCCTCTTAATCCACCACTGTGGAAACTCTTGAACCTTTTGTTTTCCTACCCATCCAGGAATCTCGCAAAGTCTCTTTCTTTGCCCATGAGATTAAAAACAAGTGTTCCCTACCTAAGTCCTGAAAATAAGCTTAACCATTTTATTTACCACATTCTACATAGCCTCATGTCTCTGATGAAAAAGAAGCCTGCAAAGTAACAGGCAGAATTATAATATAATCTCCATGATGCCTTTATGGTAATCAAACCTTTATGCAATCCTTCACCTAGAGTATAGGTGGAAACTCTGAATACTGTAGATGTCCCTTTGAAGGAACTGGGGGATTATAACTAAGATTTCTAAGTTGCCAGTTGTATGGTAATTTGTTAAGCTCCTATAGTGACTAATTAGTTTGGTACAGGCAATGAAGTTCTGGATGTTAGTATCCCCACCTCAGCATAATTCAGGTGCGACTGCTTAGACATCCTCTGTGATTAGATTGTGAATCCTTAGGCACCAGGGGACAGATTAGGTTAGTAAAATAATGCCCACCCATCAATGTTCACATTTTAGTTCCCAGGATATATACTTACATATGAATAAAGGTTTTAGATATCTGATGATGTTAAGAATACTGAAATGAAACATTCAAATATCCTAGATTTATTAATAGGCCCGACTTGAGTTGCAGGGGCCTTTCTAAGTGGTATTGGGATGACAATTCATGCATGTCACAGTAAGAGCTTTAAGATGCTGCCTTGTTAGATGGAGGGAAGATCAGGATCCAAGAAATACAGGTGTCTATGCGGGTACAAAAGTCAAGGATGCCACCACTTCCCAAAGTAAGGGTATTTTCCCAATGTCTTCCTCTTAGCCTGATATACCCATTTCAGATCAGTCACCAACAGAACTAAAAGCACTACATCACTGCAAATGTGCATTATTTTAAGTTTCTTAAAGCTTATGTTTATCATAAGCCATATTACAACACTTTGATAAATGTAAAAGGAAAAATATGACCAAGAGAAATATTAAAGCAGGTGGGTGTTTGTCTACATGGATTACATGCCTACATGTATCTAACAGGGACTCGATTCATGGCACCTCTTATGGTCCTTCTGCACACCACCAAATATAATCCCTGAGTACTGTGTCAGGAGTTAACACTGAGCACTCCTGGGTGTGATCCCCACTAGTAGTTAAAATTAAATAATAAAAAAATTGGTTATAATCACGTGTAATCGTAAAATCAACTCAATACTTTTATTTATATATAAAACAAAATTATGAAATGTTTAACGATAATGTGTTTTGGTTTATATCTAAAAGAGATTTGTTTCAGAAAACAAGAAAAAAGTCAAAGAATTCTTAAACTTGACACCAAAAGAGAGAGCTCTAAATGGAAAAAAGAAAAAGAGATGCTGAACTTCAACAAGTTTTAAAAACAAAAAGACTTCTGCCCTGTAAAAGTCAACATAAAAAGACAAGCAGCAGGGGAGAAAATATTTGCCAACCACATATCCAACTGGAGAGTTGAACACAGAATACATAAAGAACTCAGAATGGCAGAGCAAACAAATAATTCAATTAGAAAATGGTCAAAATACACAAACAGCTATGTCACCAGAAACAATGTATATAAGTCAAAAATATAAATGAAAAGATTTTTCACTGTCATAAGTCATTAAGAAAATGCATGTCATAATCACAGTGAAATAACAGCACACAACTATTAGGATGGCTAAAGAAAAAAGAAGGGGCAACAGACAGTGCTACAATATGAGGATCTACAAAAACTTAATCTCCCATTGTTGCTGGTAGGGCTATAAAATGGAGCATTCACACTGGGAAAGCCTAGAATTTGTTGAAAAAGTACACTTTAATAAAATCAATATTCAACTAGCATTGTAGCACTATCCTCCCGTTGTTCATTCATTTGCTCAAGTGGGCACCAGTAATGTCTCCATTGTGAGACTTGTTGTTACTGTTTTGGGCATGTAGAATACATCACGGGGAGCTTGCCAGTGCGGGCAGGATACTCCTGGTGACTTGCTGGGCTCTCAGAGAGGGACAAAGGAATCAAACCTGGGTCAGCTGCGCGCAAGGCAAAAGCCCTACCCACTGTGCTATTGCTACAGCCCTATCATCTAATATTCAACTAGTATGTAATAAATAATTAAATCTTGTACATTTACAAACTCAGATTTTTAAAAGTGCAATCACAGAAAAATGCACAAATAAATATTTATAGAAGCTATGTTTAAAAGGCTCCAAATGGAAGCAATCAGGTATCTTTTAATTGAAAGATAAGAAAGTGAACCACAGTATGTCCGTAAGTACTTAGGGATATGATTGAGTAATAAACAGGAATAATTTACTGGGATTGGATGGAACAGTATAGCAGATATGCTGCTTGTCTGGCATGCAGCTGACCCGGGCTTGATTTCCAGCACCTCTTATAGTTCCCCGAGTCCACCAGGAATGATCTCTGAGTGCAGAACCAGGAGTAAGCCCTGATTACAGAGGGGTGAAGTCAAAAAATAAAACAAAACAAAATCAGAATCCTTCCCTGATTCATATGGCGACTTGTGTGGCTCTTCAAAGAATTTTGATGAGTGTAAATGATAATCTGAACAGTTACCATATGATTCTATTTTATTATATTTTTAAAAGGAAAATATTAAAATGTAGCTAATATTAATGCTTTCCAAAAGCTATGAAATTATTGAGGACAGAGGGAAATAGTTTTACCTATAAAGGGAACAAAACAGAATTCTGAATTGATTAAAATGTTCCATATCTTTAGCAATGCTAGTATTCCCAGCTGTTATATAATGTTTTCAATCTATTACAGTTGGGGAATACTGGTTAAGTGTATACCAGATCTCAGTATATTTCTTACAATTGACTGAGGATCTACAAATACCTTTAAAGACTTATATGTTTTTATAAGACAATGTTTTTATGACACAATGATATATTACCTCACACCAGCAAGAGTGGCTTATGTAAAAAATGTTCAGAAGCAACAAATGGAAAAACAATATGGGGACTACTCAAAAAAATTAAAAATAGAACTATAAAATAGACCCAGAGATTCCACTCTCTAACCCAAGAATACAAAGTAAGGAGGGAGCAATGCGGGTAGGTAATTAAGTGAAAGGGAAGATATCACTCTTTAGCTATTACCCAAGAATACCAAGTAAGGGGGGGCAATGTGGGTAGGGAATTGGTTGACTGGAAGGAACAGAGTGACATTGGTGGAGGTCTTAGGTCTTGGTGGCAGTAAAGTATGGTAATTGCACAGTAAAACCATTCACACTAATGTAAACATGTGACCCAAAACTATAGTAATTATATTTAACAAATACAATACAATACATAAATATATCAGAAGTGTTAGATTAGAAGTTACTTATTTTGTGGGAATACCTGAGCTCAGGGATCACTTTAGCCATATAGGGTGCTGGATATCTAACCTGAGCTGGGTACATGCAAGGCAAGTGCCTTACCCACTGTCCCACCTATCTAGTTTCCCCAGAAAATGTTTTAAAATAGCAAATATAAAGTAAAATCCCAGGGGTACAAAGCTAGAAAAATCATCAGCTTACTAGACATCTAAGTGTAAATGATTTCATTAAACACTTGAATTTGACCTGGTAATACTTAACAGGACATCATAAATGGAGAAGCAGAAGTTGTGTGTCAAAGTCTTGACCTGCACATATTGGCTTAGGGTTGAAGAAATAGCTGACTGGAATGCAATAGCAACTTGCTCCAATAGTATTGTTGAATAAGCACAAAGCAGAGGTCAGGCATGCAGGTGGTTAAAAAAGAAGAAGAATAGTGAAAATAAAAACAATTCCGATCCACATTTGAATAGAAGAACTTAGTACAATAAGTATATCTGAAACAAAGTCAACCATTTCTACTATTCTATTTTCATATCACTAGTTCAAAGGGTTCAAGATGCTTGATTCCTGTATGATTCCACATATGTAACACATGGTTTACCTGGCACTTAGAAATGTTCTAGGAGCCAGAGTAATACTAAAGCGGGTAGGGCATTTTTTGTCTTGCATGCAGCTGACCTGGGTTAGATCCCCAGCATCCCATATGGTCCTCCAAGCACTGCCACGAGAAATTCCTGAGTACAGAGCCAGGAGTAACCCCTGAGCATCTCTGAGTATACCCAAAAAACAAAAACAACCAAAACAACAACAACAAAGTATAATTATATGTAAGATCTTTGTCTATGAAATAACTTTAGAACTTTAGGAAAACATTCAATGAAATACATATAATCCAAAATCACTAAGATGTCACTATGTTACTATTGATAAAATGGTGTTAGGAAGAATGCACAAGTTATCAATGTTATCACGTACATTCTGATTCATGGAAGAAACTTTTATATACTGAGAGAAGGAAGGCATGAGTGAAAATCAGTTGAGCAAAGACCACACCCATGAATAAAGTTCTGTGAATTAAGGAGTAACACCTGCAATACTTGATGGTTTGCAGACAGAAACAGATATTTTGATGAAGCTTAGAGTGTTTTAATTATTCAACATCAAAGCTTCATAGAACAGCAAAAATAAGGCAAAAGTCCATTCAACAGACCATATTTTAGGCAGGACTCCAAATTTCCCCTTATCTGAATAATGCGAAGATGAATATTTTAACTTAGATATTTTAGCAATCTAAGCAGCACTTTATTGAAAAGTGATAAGAGGTGCTGGTGCTGGCAGACAGCTCAACTAGGAGCTGTAGCAGAGGGCTCAGGTGATACGTTTAATACCACAAGGTCCCCCAGCATGGCTAGGAATAACCCCTATGCAACAACCGGTGGTCAAAAAAACAAATAAACAAAGAATAAGTAAAAATAAAAGCAATGACAATCCATATTTGAATATAAAAACTTAGTCCAATAAGTATAATATGTGGAACTAATATATATATTTAAAAACAATACATAAGCCAAAGAAAACATAGTATTCACAGGAAAGAATAAATGAAATCATACCTGGATCCATTTATCTGGAATTGCCATGGCTAATCGATAGTCAAAACCACCTCCTCCCTGAGAAATTGGACAACAGAGAGCCGGCATTCCTGAGACATCCTAAAACAAAATTTGTCAGCATTATCAGTACATATTGTAGACTTTTTTCCTAAATTCTTTAATTTTCTTCTTACACTAATACCTGTTCCAACAAATAAAATAATAAGGTGGTGGTGGTGATCATTTTAGAGTATTTTAGCAGCAGAATTGCAAAGGCAGAGGGAACTATGGCAGCCTATCTCATTTCCCAGCCAAGGATTTTGCCTGATGAGCTGTAGGATGACTTTGATCTTACAGTGTAGCACTGTAGCACTGTCCTCCATTGTTCATCGATTTGCTCGAGAAGGCCCAGTAATGTCTCCACTGTGAGACTTGTTACTGTGTTTGGCATACTGAATACGTCACTGGTAGCTTGCCAGGCTTTGCCATGTCGGCGAAATACTTTTGGTAGCTTGCTGCAATCTCAAAGAGGGGTGGAGGAATCGAACCCGGCTTGCTCGGCCTGGTCGACTGTACTCAAGGCAAACACCCTACTGCTGTGCTATCACTCCGGCCCATCTTACAAGGTACATGATTTTTTTTTTCCTGAATTTTACATCCAGAACAAAAATAAGTTAAACTATTACTGTTCAATAATTTCACAGATTTATATTTAGGTGTTACCACTTTTTATTGTTATAGCACTTATCAAATAAAATAAATGAATATAGGTGGCTGGAGCAAAGGGACAGCAGGTGGAAGGCTAGCCTTGCAAGCGGCCAGCCCAGGTTCAGTCCCTGGTATCCCCTATGGTCCTCTGAACCCTACTAGGAGATCCCTAAGCATAGAGTCAGGAGTAATCCCTGAGTACAACCAAGGAGGGCCCCAACCAATCAAGCAAAATACATGTAGCTTACAGACACACACATATATCTGTTAAAATTGCTCCTTCCTACAAAGCATTCACATGAACTAAGACTTGGCTTCAGACGAGGTAGAAAGGGGAGCCAGAACATGAAGAGTGAAGAATTAAGATGGCTTTCACTACCTACTTTGAAAAGACCTTTGAGGTTATCTAGCAAATTCTTTATACTTAGTAGCTACAAAACAGAAGATTATTAAGGTGAAGGTTTAAAGAAAACATTCTCAATGGTAGAACCAGGACTTAGATGTCTGGCCTTTCAATTCAACAATGTCTCTCAAATAAATCTTACCATCTCTAGATAAGAAGCAGATGAATATTTAAGCCAAAATGAAAGAAAAACAATACAAATATAAGGACCCAGTTATAATAACATGTTAATATGAAAATGTGATAAACTATGAGTCAAGTACTATCAATTCTAAATTCATATTAGCATTCAAATAAGTCACATTGTTTGTTCTCTTTAAGCACTGTCTTATTCAATCTTCCTTTCTGCTTGTTTAGAACAATTTGTTTCAAAACAGAATTCTGCATTTTTCCAGTTTTTATTCACACTAACTGCTGCCAAATTAACATCTTATGAGACAGTTTGCTACTACCTTTCAAACACTTTCAATAAACAATAATCGAAAAGCTCAAATCAGAAAGCTCTAAGACTCACTTCAGGAACCAAAACAATCATTATTTGCTGTTTAGTTATCTGTTTTCTCACTCAACTGCTAGATCATAAGATTCATAAGGGTCTGCATTTTTAAAAAAAATTTTATTAGTGAAACACCACGAGGTACAGTTGTAGACTTACAAATTTTTGTGCTTGGATTTCAGTTATACAATGATAGAATACCCATCTCTCCACCAGTGCCCATTCTCCACCACCACTGATCCCAGTATCCCTCCCACCCCCCATCCCCCCATCCCAACCTGCCTCTGTGGCAGGGCATTCCCTCTTGTTCTCTCTCTCCTTTTGGGTGCTGTGGTTTGCAAAAGAGGAATTGAGTGGCAATCATGTTAGGTCTATAGTCTACTTTCATTATGCATCTCCTATCCTGCGCGGATCTTCCCAACACCCTTTATTTGGTGCTCCCTCTCTATCTGAGCTTCCTTTACTCCTAGAGTATGCGGCTGGCCTCCAAGACATGGAGTAAACGTCCTGGTACTTATCTTGGCTATTCTTGGGTGTTAGTCTCCTATTTTGTTACTTTATGTTTCCCAGATGAAAGGGTCTACATTTTTTTTGTTATGGTGGTGGTGGTCTGCTATTGTTTACTTATAAGAGGAGAGATTCCAGAGTAGTAGAGCATAATTAGCAGGTAGTAGATACTTAACAAGTATCTTCTGAATGAATAGACTTAAGGAACTATCAGGAGTCTGCTGAGTGAATAGGACGAAGGTATTATTAAGAGCAATAAGACATAGAATATGATACTTGGGAGTTCTTATTTATTTATTTATTTATTTGTTTGTTCTTTGGGTCACACCCAGCGATGCTCAGGGGTTACTCCTGTCTCTGCACTCATGAATTTTTCTTGGCAGTGCTTGGGGATGCCAAGAATTGAACCCAGGTTGGCCATATGCAAGGCAAATGCCCTACCCGCTGTACTATCATTCTGGCCCCAATTGTTGGGAATTCTTAAACTAAATCTAAGTATAAGAAACATACTTTAATATCAAAAATTAATATGTGATACAGTTTGAATAGTGGTTAACAGAAGTACACTGAGTTAAACAAAGAGACTGCACTTGTCCATTATTATTTCCCTCTGCCTCAGGTTCTAAATACTCTGTCTACTTAGCACAAAGTATTATATAATGTATAAAGTATTATATTTTTCTTGCTGTTCATGTCGAAGACATTTGCATTTATATTATAAATAATCCATAATATGTCCAACTACTTACTTATATAATTTTCCTCACTTCTCATAAGATGACCCATATACCAGTTCTCTTAAGCTCAAATACTCTCTATCTACAACACATAAAAGCCTAAAAATCCACCCAGAAAAAAACAGGCAACAATGAACATCTGTCCTCTGAACTCCAAAAATAATTATATTTTTGTGAATGAGAAGAAAGTAAAGCAGATAGTGGGACACATTCAAAGGTAACTAATATCTTTGTCAATCATCTTATTTACATTATACACAATAGCTTATAAAACTGAAAAAAGATGGATTAACAGTAAGCCATCATTTTTTTTAAGTTGCAATTATCAGGTAGGTATACATTTCAAATACACTTTAAATAGCTTTGATTATGTAATAGCTAGAATTTTTATAAATATTCCGATGGGGAAAAATCTCAATTACAAATAGTTTTAATTTGATAAATATAACATTGTGGAATTTTAAATACATTCTAGAAATTTTAATTAAATTCAATTTTAATATCTTCATTACAAACCATTTCAAATTATATTATACGGTGTCATACAAAATTGCATTTATTTGTTACACAATATTTTTTTTTTGTTTCATGAGGATCAATTCTACATTTTGAAGAGACTCCCACTAGACAGAAAAGTGATGTATTGAAATTGAAGTAGTTTTCAATTTAAGTAGAATAAATTGAAGACAAATCTTGTTTAAAAAAGATCTAAAACCAAGTAATATAAAGTAGGCTAAAGTCTCAAAGTTTCATAGGTAGAAACATTGATAATCAGACAAGAGCTCCCTAGTTGATGAAACTATTTTACTTGCAATGAGTGGAAAGATCAATGTAACAATTTTAAGTCCCATATATTAAATAATTGCTTCTTTTTCTTCAAACCCTTTTTTGATCATGCTGTCATTAATTGTTTATAGCAATTTGTCATGTGTAATATCTCCACTTTGAATTGCCATAAAAATAATTGACAAAATAATTAACTTTTTGATGTTTGAAAGATAAAATTAAAGTATATGAGAAACAAAATCTTAAAATATAATTTGATCTTAAAAGATATTCAGCACATGAAGTACCAGCACAATAATTAGCAAGACTGATAAGCTATGACCAAGTATAGGGATAGAGAGAGTGAAAAAAAGCCATTTATCAAAATGATATCATAATTCTAGGATTTATTTTTATTCCACTTAAGATAATTTTCATTCTAGGAATTTAGAGCTGCCAATTAATTCCCAGAAGATATTTATAACAAACACAAATGATCAGAAGAGAGTAATTGCTCATTCTCTTGAGACACAAGAAATTCATAGCATTTAATTAGAAATTTTGTTTTCTCAAATGGGCTGGAGCAATAGCACTGCAGGTAGGGTGTTTGCCTTGCACACGGCCGACCTGAGTTTAATTCCTCTGTCCCTCTCAGAGAGCTCAGCAAGCTGAGAGTATCCTGCCCACATGGCAAGGTTTGGCAAGATCCCTGTGGCATATTCGATATGCCAAAAACATTAACAACAAGTCTCACAATGGAGATGTTACTGGTGTCCGCTCGAACAAATTGATGAACAACGGGAGGACAGTGACAGTGCAGTGCTACAGTTTTCTGAAATATGATAGTAAAAATCAATGAACGATTTTTTGATTTTAAAAAATTCTACAGAAAAAAAATGTCACGAATGCATTTAATTCTGATAAAGAAAAATGGTAAAAACACATCTTAATCCTTTGAAAGTCATAGTATATGTCAACCCCTACAATATATACAGAACAATTTTAACACATTAAATTCAATTTTAATAATAATTCCTAGCTAGAAAACTTAGAAAACCAGAGGGATTTTAGTACTCAATCTAAATTAGCATAAGCATTTAACAAACTTCTTAATTTATCACATTTATCACCATGAAGGGAATTGTCAATTATGCATATACCGAATTATATCATTATGGTGCAGCCTTGGGACAGTTAATCATGAGTCTTCAGTAATCATGAATAACTAGTGAACATTTGGCAATCCAAGAGCAGTAACGTAAACAAGAAAGGTAATCGCATCAGAACAAGAAGCTTCATAGAAGCTCACAAGCAGTGATCCATGCCATCTCTAATGATTAAACCAGAAAATTAGAAGAGAGAAAGAGAGAGAGACAGACAGAGAGAGAGAGAGACAGACAGAGAGAGAGAGAGAGAGAGAGAAGCACATTAATATTCAATTCCTTACTCTGCTGAAGGTCTCATCGTAAAAAGACCTGTCCACTTATTAGAGTATTTTATTTTCTAACCACTGGCTTTTTTTTTTCCATGCAATGATGAAAAGTAATTAGTGTACATTATCTACTAATAGGAAACTATTGAATTCTAAATTAAAGGCCAGCCAGCCATACAAGGTAGCAGACCTCCCATGAGGATACAACTTCATTATGCAATTATTGACAAAATAAAATTAATTATTCAAATAGTATATGCTGGGAAAATGTTCTGTATTAAAGGGGGTTGGGGGTAGGAAATCATTATAGCCATACCTCAGCTATTGTGATAGAATCTGGATACAATGTGTGAACCAAATGATTGGCCAACATGAGATAAATCAAGGCATCTTCATCTACTTGGAGTCCAAAATATTCGTGGTAATCACCTGAAAAACCTTGACCTAGAGAAAAAGTATAACAAAATCAACCAATATGAAGGCATTATATTTACATAAAAGTGCTAAATTTAAGTAAATTCTCTCCCCAATTAATTGATAGCATTTTTGTTGTAACAACAAAGTATATGTGTCTCCTGGCTACAATGTTATCATGAGCAAAAATAAGACCTAGCTTTAAAAAATATTCCATGTGAACATTCAAAGTTCAAACAACTCTATGATTTAACTTTTTTTTAAACAAAACTAAACAAAATAACTACAACTAGTAAAGAAATAACTTTAGTTGTTTAATAGCCACACATTTAGTGCTCATGGACCCATCTGATACTAAGGATAGAATCCAAGCTTCAAACAAGCAAATTATGTCCTATAGCTGAACTGAGCTCTCTCTCAAATAATAATAATAATAATAATAATAATAATAATAATAAAACAATTTAACTATATTTCAAAGGAAAATATTTCAAAGATAAGTCTAAATATAAACATTTAGGCACATTTTTGTCACATCACGACCTGCTAATTTTTGTTCGCCTCTACTGTGAGTGTCACTATCCTCCCATTGTTCACTGATTTGCTCGAGCAGGTCGAGTAACATTGTGAGACTTGTTACTGTGTTTAGCATATTGAATACATCATGGGGAGCTTGTGAGGCTTTGCAGTGCGGGTGAGATACTCTCGGTAGCTTGCTGGGCTCTCTGAGAGGGGCAGAGGAATCAAACTCGGGTCGGCTGTGCTGGCTGCGTGCAAGGCAAACGCCCTACCTGCTGTGCTATCGCTCCACTACTATATGCTTTTTTAAAAAAAATATTGTCTTTTTATTGAATCACTGTGAGATCTACTATATGGTTTTAACAAAATTAAAAACGAAATGCATACAATTAGGTCATTGTTACATTGGTTTAAATGTTTCAACTTAGGGATTATAGTAGAGCAGGTAAAATACTTCTCTTACACATGGATGACCACAAGTTAAACTCCCAGCATCACATATGTGCCTCAAAGTCATGCCAGGACTTATCTCTGGGCACAGAACCAGGAGCTGGGCCTCAGCACCACCAAGTGTGGCACCAAAACAAACAAAAATTTAAATAAATGTTTCAACACATACAATCTGAATTTCCTATGAAGGCAAAATCAGTTAATTTCCTCCAACATCCTTCTAGATCCACATTCCCCTACATCCTAGTTTTTGGTGTTACAGTATACATCATTCATTTGGGATTAGAGTCTATCTCTACTTAATATATGAGCTAAGTACTTTGACCCTGGGGTTAGCTTTCTTTCAACTTTATTTGGGATACATGTGCAGGATACAGTTTTAGTTGTCTTTTGTTGTTGATGATTTTCTCTCTTCTCAACAGAGAAACAAAATATGTTATATAACTCAGAAATTTTTATCTTACTTGGACATTCTACCCATCAAAGCATATTGAATATCCTTCAGTTCATTTCCCCGACTTCAAAATTCTTTGGAAAAAAAATCTCATTCCTCAATAGAGAGAGATCTGGATAGGATACTTGTTTTAGTCTAGGAGATAATTTTTCTTAAAATTTTCCCTGCCTACCTTTTCTATCCTCTCAATCTGCTTCTCTCCAAACTGGAGAGTTTCAATAAAGTCTGAAAGACTGTACAGATTCAACTTCTTTCCCCAGAGCAGTTCACAAGAACAGCGCCATGTCAAAGAGCAGAGAGCAGCACACTTGACAGAGATTCTTTCCTCCTTTTTTGTGGATTGCCACTAAAAAAAGCAGCAACTGTTTACCATGTTATCTAGCAGGGGATTGGAATCTCTGATGCATATTATTTTATATTGATTTTATTCTGAAAGATCTGACTACTATTTTATTATAGATAAAAAATTCAATTGAAACTGAATGCATCTATATTCAAAATATGTTTTATTCAGTGTATAATATGCAAAAAATCATACATTCTCAATTTTTTTCATATTTTTACTATTTTCATAGAAATTATGGTCATATTTATATATATTTTTTGAATGGGGAGTAATATTTGTGTTTTGAATCACACCAGGGGGTGGAGGGGGAGTGTCAGAACTTACTCCAGGTGTCAAGGAATTGCTCCTGGCTGTGCTTGGGAGACCATATGGGGAATTAAGACTTGAAATCAGGTAGATCACAACCAAGGCAAGTGTGTTATCCACTCTAGTATTGTTCTGATCCCATTATGTTCATATTCTAAGGGTGTAAACTAAATATTTTCTTAAAACAAAACCATTTTTTAGGGTTTTGGAAGATAGTTCAATGGGTAAAGTGATTACCTTGCATACATTTAAGTTAGGTTCTCAGCACTACATATTATCTTACAAGCTCACCAGGAGTGATCTCTGAGTCCACAGCCAGGAGCAAACCCTGAGCACGGCTGGGTGTGGCCCCCAAACAAACAAAACAAACAAAAGAATGGATTTTAAAGCTTTTACAAATATAATTAATGTTATTAAATGGGCACTAAGAAGACACTTTTCAAAAACGGCATTATCATCCACTTTCTTATATAATGTAATTTCCAATCTCTTGTAATAAAAAAAACTGATAATAGGAAAGAGTTCCAAAGTGAAACTAATGAAAACAAAGTCAAAAGTGGCCATTAGAGCATTTGTAGTTAAACGCTATGCCTTTTTGGACTCATTTGGTAAAACAGAAAGTCATTAGTCGTGTCTATCAAATAACAAGTTACTTACCCATCCCGTGATGGTGATAAAGCATAGATGTGACACCATCAAAACGAAATCCATCAAAACCATACTCTTCCAACCACCATCTCAAGTTTGATAGCAGGAAACGTAAGACTTCCCAACTAAAATTAGGCACATAAAGATATAAACACAACTTACAAATGTTTTCTACAAATGGTATTATTTAAAATTATAAATCTCAATCTTAAAAATCATAATGTTCAAAGAACTGTACATGATACAAAAATTAAAAACTATTAGTGATTTTTTATTAGTTTTATAAAACTTATTCCAAAAAAATTAAAATTTTCAGCTGTGTGCTCTCTTAATATTTGGAATAAAAGGCAAACTATGTAAAAATTGGGTTGTAAGTCTCAACATTCCACTTCATTAAAATGCTATGTCTCCTACAAACTTACATGGATTATTACTACACAGCAGCAAAAAATAAATAAAATCTCTGAATTCTCATAAAGATTTTTCATGTAATATAACCTTTTTCCTTTGAGAAAACATAATTTTATCATTAGTAGAAAGATTTCTTTAATGTTTTGTCTCCTTACATTTTTTCCTCATCCTACAATTTTAAACATTCAATTCAGAATGGAAACAACATGAAAAAGAAACTTTTGAAATCAACCACAAGATAAGCATTATTGCATTTACCAGAATTGTTTTATAAGGGGGAAGACAGAAAATCTAATTACTAAACTCCACATGTTCAAAAAGTTCTACAAGTTTAGGAGTGCACCATCCATAAAATCAGGAAGAGAATAAAACACTGCATAACTCAATTAAAAACACTGCACGAAGCAAGTCTATTTTGGACAACTGGAAAAAGGGCACCATCAATTCCTATTTTCTGTAGTCATATAGCTATGGTTGAGTTCTCTATCTTATTATAACTGCAGTTTTAAAACTCTAATACCTCATTTAGTTTAATGACAAAGCAGTAATAGTGTACACAAATCTTTAACCCAGTGGAAATTTATGTCGATTTTTTAGACCTTCCATATATTAAAGAACAATCTGACATAAGTGGAGCTTCAGTCATCACAAACAAACCCAATATTGTAAATCTAAACTTTGAGGGCTGATGAGTGTTGTTGGTAATTAACAACTTTAAATAAATTACTCAGCTTAAAAAAAAAACAAACTTTTTATTAAAGAAAAACAAATGAAAGAAATTTAAAGAAATTGTAAATCTATGAAATTTACTAGCTATGAAAGGGAACCTGGCATATCTCAATTGTTAGGCCCAACTCTCAATAACAGTAGATTACTACTGATTCCTATTGATACATGGTTTAAAGAAAAAAATGAAGATAAAAGAAATGAGGGTCAAATAAAAAGAAGTGAAAGTCAGAAAAATGAAATAACACAACAGGTAAAGCTTTTGTTACATGCTAGCCTCAGGCTTACTCCTTGGGACAAAATATTAGTTTTGTTCCCTGAGTCCTGCCAGAGGTGATCCCTGATCACAGAACCAGAAGCAAACCCTAAATCCATTGATGTGGTGCAAAAACAAATGAGAGAGAGAGAGAGAGAGAGAGAGAGAGAGAGAGAGAGAGAGAGAAATCAAAAGACCGAGGTATTGTAGAAGTGAATTAAATTAAAAAAAAAACTCTAATTTAAAAAACTCTAATTTCTGCAAGAATTTCCTTTTACTTTATTCAAAGTTGAATAAAATAAGCTTTACTTTCAGGAGCAGTTTTATATTCACAAGAATAAAATGGAAAGTTATAGAGTTTTCATACATGTCCTGCCTTCACACAGGCATATACAGGTCTCTATTTGGCGTTTATTACCACCCTCCACCTTCCCTTCACGGTTTATGAAGCTGTGGTTGCAATGACCAGGAATTGTACACACATCTCCTGTGGTGTTCACACATACTTCAGCAGTGGGCAATGCCAGGGTCACACATCTGGTCATGGTACTAGCACAATTGGCCAAGGGACTCGCTTATGGTCACACCCCTTTACCGCGTCTCCATCAGGTTGCTGTGCCTACTGATCAGAGCACTGATCCTATATGTATACTTCCCAACCTTAGTTCTCATCAAGATTTGCAGCCCTACATTATGGTACTTACACAAGACTAGTTTAGTGCAGCTGTAAGGCAATCAGCAGTACAGACAGAACTCCCAAGCTGACAATGGATGCCAGTATTGGGCTCTGCACTCAAATGGCACTGGGGTCTGAATTGACAGCCATATTCTTACAAAGTAGTACTGTAGCACTGTCCTCCCATTGTTCATCGATTTGCTCGAGCGGGCACCAGTAAAGTCTCAATTGTGAGACTTGTTGTTAATGTTTTTGGCATATCAAATATGCCATGGGGGGCTTGCCAGGCTCTGTCATGCTGGCGGCATACTGTCGGTAGCTTGCCAGGCTCCCTGAAAGGGGCAGATGAATCAAACCAGGGTTGGCTGCATGCAAGGCAAACGCCCTACCCGCTGTGCTATCACTCCAGCTTACAGAATAGGCATTCTAAACCCATGAACTTTTCTTCTAGACAGCAGACTATACTTTTCCTTTGACAAAGGGGGATCTCCCAAGTGTGGCTCACAGTGCTCATTGGTTTCTTCCTGGCAAAGCTTGAACAATGAGCCATGGCATTCAGTGGCAGCACCTGAAGAGGTAGAGCAGTTCAGGTCCTGTAAGCTAGAGGACATTCAGGGTTCTACTCAATGGTGCTCAAAAAAGAGAAGAGGAGGGGGCTGTTGGTCATGCTTCAAACTTAGGTCCTGGTACGAGGTCTCCTGATGGCTGAGCTAGACCCTGACCCTCTTCTACTCAAACAAGGTTATTCCATAAGTATTTCCAAAGAAAGACAAGCATAAAAAATGTTTTTTTTTAAAAAGATCATAGATATCAAATTCTGCTATTTTATGGACAATATTAATTTTACTTTTAAAAGTAAACAAAATTATTTTTAGCCAAAGACGTTGGAGTAGGACAGAAGTCCATTTAAATATGAAACATCTTGGGTAGATGAATGAAGATGAGAACACACAAATTAGAGATCACAAACTATCTGTAGGCTTCATCTGTATAGCCTAAAAAACTTAAAATTTTTCCATTGGAGTTTTTATATATATATATGTATATATATATATGGGCTGGAGTGATAGCACAGCAGTAGGGCGTTTGCCTTGCACGCAGCCAATATGGCCGACCCGAGTTCGATTCCTCCGCCCCTCTCGGAGAGCCTGGCAAGCTACCAAGAGTATCTTGCCCGCACGGCAGAGCCTGGCAAGCTACCCGTGACGTATTCGATATGCCAGACACAGTAACAACAAAGTCTCCAATGGAGACGTTACTGGGCTCGCTCGAGCAAATCGATGAACAATGGGAAGACCGTGACCATGACATCTATCTATCTATCTATCTATCTATCTATCTATCTATCTATCTATATCATGTGCTTTGCAGCTCAACTCCATACAACTCTACAATTTTCTTACACCAAGTTAATTTACTGATTTACATCACAAGTCTGGGCTTGTAGATATTTGCTTCTAATTTCTAACACAAACCACACACTGAATGTTTCCTATGAAGACTTATAGCTTCAACATTTAAAACTGTGCCCAAGTTACTATAAAAGAAATAATTTCTAAAACAAACAATACTGTAATTCAAAGGAAAAGAGAAGAAAAGAAGGTGTAAGTCTAAAAATTCAAAAGAAATCACTGCTCAATTTTATCATTCTTAGTTAAGTGTAGCTATACTAAATGTTTTCTTCATTCCTGTTACACCGTAATAAATCTGTTCACTTTTTTAGTCGACAATTTTTTAAAAACAATTAATTCAAATATTATTGGAAAGAGCAAAGTTTTCTATAACTGTGAATAGAATGATTCGTGAAAGAAGAGAAAAAAATTCTGTCAAAATCAGAAGAGATATAATAATGAATTTAGAGCACAAAATTTAAAAGTCCAAATATGTTTAAAAATAAGAAACTCCTTAACCTCAAAAATTCTCTTAAATTGAAAATATGTTCAAACAATAGTGCAGTGACATATATGACAAAAGCATCAACCTTAACAGTACTATGAATATATAACCTTAATAACAAAATATTTACATTGGTATATAATAAAAGACATAGACTTCCAGAAGAAAAGCAGGTTCTGGACATACTTAGTGGTTCTCAGGGCTTAAATCTGATCTTTTTACTTTTTTTTTTATTTTTTGTTTTTGATTTTATTGAGTCACTGTGAGATAGTTACAAGTTTTCATGTTTGGGTTACAATCACACAATGATCAAACACCCATCCCTCCAGCAGTGCACATTCCCCATCACCAATATCCCCGGTATACCCCCCCCACCTTTCCCCTGCCTCCATGGCAGACATGATTCCCCATAATCTCTCTCTACTATTGGGCATTATCGTTTACAATACAAACACTGAGAGGTTATCATGTTTGGTTCTCAGAATGGTAAAGAATATTTACCCAATACCCATCTGACAAGGGATTAATATCCAGGACATACAAGACACTAGTAGAATTGTAAAAGGAAAAAAAAAAAAAACCTCCAACCCCATCAAAAAATGGGGAGAAGAAATGAACAGAAGTTTCCTCAAAAAAGAAATGCAAATGGCCAAAAGGCACATGAAAAAAATGCTCTACATTGCTAGCCATCAGGGAGATGCAAATCAAAACAACCACACCACACATCTCACACACACATATCATCTCACACCACAGAGACTAACACACATTCAAAAGAACAACAGCAACCAGTGCTGGCATGGATGTGGATGTGGGAAAAAAGGGACACTCTTTCACTGTGGTTGGGATGCCCACTAGACCAGCCCTTCTGTAAAACAATATGGACAATCCTTCAAAAACTAGAAATTGAGCTTCCATATGACTCTACAATACCACTTCTGGGAATATATCCCAAGGATGAAAAAAAGCAGAGTAGAAATGACATCTGTACCTATATGTCCATTGAAGTACTGTTCACAATAGCCAAAATCTCGAAACAACCGAAGTGCCCTAGAACAGATGTCTGGTGAAAGAAACTTTGGTACATCTACACAATGGAATACTATGCAGCTGTCAGTAGAGATGAATCATGAACTTTGCTTATAAATGGATAGACATGG